AGGTAGGCGGTGTGCATCTTGAACAAGAGTCTTCCTGTAAACCCTCGATGTTCACTTGCCCTGCTAAGTCGGTGATGATCCCTTCGAGATTCTCGCGGGCAGAAAACTTCATGCCATGAATTTGTTTCTACTTCCTTGACCTCTTTCTCTTGCTGTTTCACCGAGTTAATAAGCGAATCATATTGTGACAAAAACAAAAGTCAAGGACTCTGGGGTCTTGGTCAAGATAACGCGCATCGTGTCCACAGTGAGCTTCATAGAAAACAGAGAGTCAACTTTGAGGTGTATATCTTGAAGATTATCGACGGTGTCTTTCTGGGAAAGGATACGATCGAGTTTCTCATTCACCACTAATAGCTGTGCCAAGAACGCGGAGGGCTCGGCTAGAGACGATCGGGGGTCTGATATTCAATTATGCTTCCCGGCTCCTTCACGGCACACAAAGCATTGCCATTTCTCGAGTTTGGCGGCGCACATACTCTTAAATGTGCCATCAGCTATCCGTGAACACTTCTTTCCAAGATGACATTGCCAAGAACAATCAGCGCATTTCATGCATCTGCCGTCTTTTAGCACGGGGTTGGAGCAGGCTTCACAAATTGAGGCATCGGCCATGGTGTTAGTACAACGACGAGAAAGACGCACGAGAAATACCAAAGCAAAAAACAACCAAAAGAATTAAAATCGAGAAGGGTTTCAGGCTCACAGGTGAAGCTAAGTGCACCACGAGAGCTTTGCGCGTGATGAGGGGCGAAATTCTACCGTAGGCACCAGCTCGAAGAACAAATGTAGGACCCTTAGTTTGAATATTGTCACGGGTGGTGACCAAAACAGGAGGCAACCTTCAATTGCTCCTGGGAAGAGGAATAGGCGTCGCAAGAGGAGTAGCTGAACTTCAGGATGGGCGGACTGTGGTCCTCGTGACGAACTTCCGAAATGAAACGCAACACCTCACGAAAGGTGCAGCCGTGGGCCACGTCGAGGAACTTCGAAACGCCGCCGAAATCGCCCCGATTACTGACGAAACCTCGCCACCTCAGCAGGACAGTCCGTCGCCAGCGCAGCTCGACATTGACCCCAAGCTTCCGAGCCCGAAACGACGGCAGCTAAGTGACCTCCTTGCCGAATACAGTGACTGCTTCGCGACGTCGTCGAGGGTGCGCCAAACCGCCTTTGCGAAACACCGCATCGTTACCGAGGACGACGCGCGCCCTGTGCATCGATCGCCGTACAGAGTCTCCGTTAAAGAAAGGGAGGTGATCCAGGAGCAATTACAAGAGATGCCGAACGACGATATAATCCAACCTTCAAGCAGTCCGTGGGCCTCTCCAGTTGTACTGGTTAAGAAGAAGGACGGAACGCTTAGGTTCTGCGTGGACTACCGGCAGCTGAACGCAGTGACGAAGAAAAACGTCTATCCACTCCCCCGCATCGACGACACGCTAGACCGGCTGCGTCACTCCCGATACTTTTCATCCATAGACCTGAAGAGGGGCTACTGGCAGATCGAAGTCGACGAACGGGACCGAGAGAAGACAGCTTTCGTCACGCCAGATGGGCTGTACGAGTTCAAGGTGATGCCCTTCCGGCTGTGCACGGCTCCAGCAACTTTCCAGCGTGTCATGGACACTGTACTGGCAGGACTAAAGTGGCAGAGCTGTCTCGTCTACCTCGATGACGTCGTAGTGTTTTCCAGCGACTTCGACGAGCACTTGCGACGACTCCGAGCAGTTCTCCAAGCCATACGTACCGCCGGACTCACCCTGAAGCCGTCAAAGTGTCGGTTCGCCTATGACGAACTGAAGTTCCTAGGTCATGTGGTTAGTAACGAAGGCGTTCGCCCCGACCCAGAGAAGACTCGCGCCGTCGCAGCATTTCCAGCACCGACAGACAAGAAGGCCGTGTGAAGGTTTCTTGGACCATGTGCCTACTATCGGCGCTTCATCCGGAATTTCGCAAAGATTTCCGCACCGCTCACAAACCTCACAAAGGACGCCGAGAAGTTCGAATGGGCCGAGGAGCAGCAGCAGGCATTCGACGAGCTGAAGCGACGACTGCAGACTCCTCCTGTTCTAGGACATTTCGATCAAGATGCGGAAACCGAAATTCACACGGACGCAAGTAACGCTGGACTCGGCGCGGTACTGGTTCAAGTGCAAGAAGGCACCGAGCGAGTTATCGCCTACGCAAGTCGGAGACTGTCCAAGGCGGAGAAAAATTACTCCACGACTGAGAAAGAATGCTTTGCGGTCGTCTGGGCAATAACGAAGTTTCGTCCGTATTTGTACGGGAGCCCGTTCCGTGTAGTCACGGACCACCACTCGCTCTGCTGGCTAGCGAACCTCAAGGACCCATCAGGACGTCTCGCACGATGGAGTCTACGACTACAAGAGTTCAACATGACTGTGGTCTATAAGTCAGGCCGGAAGCACAGCGACGCCGACTGCCTGTCCAGAGCCCCCGTCGAAGCGCCTTCTGGCAGCAGCAACGACGATGACGACGACTGCTTCCTAGGTGCAGTGAACACCGACGACATGGCACGACGTCAAAGAGAGGATCCTGAGTTGCGCGCGTTAATCGAGCACCTCTAAGGACGAGGGGGTATTGTCTCCGTGTCTTCTTAAGAACCCTGCCGACTTTCGTCCTCCGACAAGGTGTACTTTATAAGGAGAACTTCGGAGACAACAGCACACCATGGCTGCTGGTAATCCCTACCGACCTTAGAGCGGAGATCTTCCAAGCCTGCTACGACGACCCGACATCCGGACACCTTGGTTACAGCCGTACGCTGGCCAGATTTCGTGAAAGGTATTACTGGCCCAAGCTGCCGAAGACCGTTCACTACTACACACGGTCCTGGCACGAGTGCCAGCGACGCAAGAACCCACCGACGAAGCCGGCAGGTCTCCTACATCCGATCGCTCCCCCGACTGTACCGTTCCAGCAGATCGAAATGGATATACTTGGTCCTTTCCCACCATCGACGCAAGGAAATAGATAGATTATTGTCGCCACAGATTATCTCACACGGTACGCCGAAACGAAAGCCGTTCCTGCAGGGACGGCTGTGGAAGTCGCCAAGTTCTTTATCGAGTCCATCGTCCTCCGGCACGGCGCTCCCGAAGTTTTGATCTCAGACCGTGGATCATCATTCATGGCCTAGCTGACGCAAGAAATCCTTCGTCTCAGCCACACCAGCTATCGGCGCACAACGGCGTACCACCCGCAGACCAATGGGCTGACGGAGAGACTCAGCAAGACCATCGCCGACATGATCTCCATGTACGTCGACGTGGAGCACAAGACATGGGACGAGGTGCTGCCGTACGTCACATTTGCCTACAACACGGCCGTGCAAGAGACCACCGGGGTGACACCTTTCCAACTGGTTCATGGTCGCAAAGTAACGACAATGCTGGACGCGATGTTACCCCACGAACCGCCTGTCCACGGAAGCGACGACGCCCAGGTGGTTGCCCAACGGGCAGAAGAAGTCCGCCAGCTCGCCAGACACCGTATTCAAGCCCAACAACGTGTCAACACTGGCCGCTACAACCTTCGTCGTCGGGACGTCCACTTCCAGCCCGGAGACAGGGTGTGGGTGTGGACACCGATCCGCCGCCATGGTCTCAGTGAGAAACTCCTAAAGCGCTAGTTCGGGCCCTACAAAGTACTTCGTCGACTCGGGGATATGAACTACGAGGTGATGCCCGACGGAACACGGACTTCATCACGCCGCGCTCCACGACCGGAAGTCGTCACGTCGTGCGCCTCAAGGCGTACTACGCGCGATAAGACTGCGAACTGTGATCTTGTGCATCGCTTGATAGAATTGTGTTTCGCGAGCCTCCGTATGTTCCCATTCTTTTTTTTGTTTCGCTCTGTTTCGTTGCCTTTTACGTAGCATCGAGACGATGCCTTTTTAAAAGGGGGAGTAATGCCGCGCGTGCAGCTGGCCAAGTAGGCAGCGCGCGCGTGGCCTAACGGTTATCGCGCTTGCTTTCCACGGTGAAAGCGAGGGTTCGATTCCTGGCCGCGGAGGCACATTTTTGTTGACTCTGTAAAGTAATGTTCTGGTAAATTCGAGAATCATCTTGCTGATTCGAGGTTAGAATGTTCTACGCGCCGAACCTTCTACGCCAAACGATCCAGAAACCCACGAAGGTACATAAGGGATTCCGCCAGGCGAGCGGAGTCAGTCGCGCCCCAGCGGTCGACCTGCTGCCACGCCGACTTCGACGCCCGCGACGATCTATTATTATCTTTCGTACTCTTTTATTTTTGGCACAAGTTCGCAACATTAAACGTTTGTTTCTTCCTCTTTATTTTCTGTTTTGTTTTGGTTGAGCACCAAACTGTTGAAACTCTCATTTGTAGAGTGAATGCGCTTTTCTGGAGAGCAATTAGGGTGCAGATGACAACTGTGAGGTTGAGTTAGCTCGGTGTAAGACCAACAGTGTCAGCAATTACAAGGTGACGAGCCAAGAGATCTCAATATGGAAGTTTGTACCTGCCGTGTGACCCGATCGTAGCCTGCTGGCGTCCCTAAGACCTCCACAGGCGGAGCGATGCTGCATTAGGTTGAGCGGGAATAACCAGTGGTCATCCTTCACGTAAAAGACGGCGGTCGGATTGCTTCCTTACTAAAAGCAGTAAAATTTAGAGCCGCGTCAATCAGAACAGCTGAGGTTCATCACTTCCTCTCTTTCCTGTAATAATAATAATAATAATAATAATAATAATACCAATAACAATAATTTTAATATTTATACTATTTATGATGATAATAATAATAATGACATGATTTATGTGTCCAGAAACAGCACTAAGCGAGAGATGTGGTGCAAAACAGATACTACTAGTAATATTTTTATAACATGCAATTATTTTATTTCTCAGGGTTTTCCGAATCCTGTTTTAAATGGTTACTATGACACGAGTATGTCTAAGCAACATAATACCAACTATTAAAGGGAAATTCCACTTTATTCCCAAAACAGCCCCTCCCCACGAGTATGTAGTTTATCCAAGGCTTCTTGACGAAAGAGGACTGGACGTTGAGAAGGTTCTGTATATTCAAGACGACGTAATCATTAGGCTGAAAAAGAATTCAGTACTCGCCGAAAGGTTCATATTTAGCGAGACTGTTAATGGGACAAGAGTGGACACAATCGTAAGTACACCCTTGCACATGATCATTGCCGTAAATATGGATTTATGATTCAAATAAAATAATGGTCTAGTAGCAATTTTGTCCACATATCCGTTAGAGCTGCATTGGTTGTCATGAAGGCGGAGTAGCCTGCTAGCCCTCTTTAAAAACAAAAGTAACTTAATAAACGCCAAGGGTGAGCAAGATAGACATCGAGTCGAACAGAAGGGCTCTAGCTGTATTTGCGACTCCAGCGACCTATAGGGGACGCCACTATCGGGCAAATATGACGGTCGAATCCAGGTCGTGCCGTACCATGTGCCAGCTCAACGCACAACGCTGGGGCACCAGCAAGTAAGCATTGGACTCAAAATTGGTACCCCCGCGTTTTATCACCCACGTTTCGAAACTGCGGCGATCTGTTGGGGTAAGCGAAATTCCAGAGGCTGGACATTCTTCAAGCAAACGAGGAAAAAACTGCCCACTGTCCTTCCACGAGGCTGATGAACGTTGAGAAACGCAGAATGTCTGGCTCACGCGTTTACATAGGTCGCGTGCAGAGCAACCTGGGTCCCAAGGCGATACTACGGTTACAACACAGTCACCAGTAGAACTGTTCTGTCGTGCAAACCACCGACGTTATCTAAACACGGAAGCCAGAAGAGACGAGCAGAAACAGCGAAAGAACCTGTTCCGGCCACTTCAGTGCTTTCCCACTAGGTGCCGCTCGTTTTGCTGGAGTCGCGAATACTATCAACTGGCGTTTTAATGCAGCCACAAGAAAGAGAAGGAAGAGGTGAGTGGGATTAGTGAAGTGAAACTTGAAAGCAAGTAAAAATGCGAGCTGGTTAAAGATAGAAAGGGTAAACCAATACTCCATGTCACTAGCTGTGTGCTGTGCAGATGAAGGCAACGCCAGGCGAAGAGAAAAAGGGCGAGCACTAGGAAGGCGGGACGAGAGAGGAGGGCAATGGAGGTCGAGGGAAGTAATGGAGAGCACTAGGAACGTTAGAGAGAAGAGGAGGTGACTCTCCTCTTCCTCAGCTTCTCTAGTGCCGGCTCTTTCTCCCCTCGCCTCGCGCTGCCTTCGCCTGTACCTCACGGAACTAGTGGCGTGGTGTGTAGAGCCAGTCCATGTCTCGCTCCAGTAGGATTTAATAGTTATATTATTTCTGCTAATGTTTTTGATAGGGCATCTAACTATATTCCAGTTTCGCCAACCTCTGCTGCGCTGTCATAGCGCGACGCAGCAGAGGCTGGTTGCACTATCTCTCCACGGGACGCGGTGCCGCCGGGGCCGAGATGCGCTCCAATAGCAAACCGAAACTTAAAAACCCGTCGAATTTGTGCGGTTTTTCAGAAAGCCGTAAAATGCTTCGCGTGCCTTCTATCGTTCTGCAAAATGGTGATTTCGTATTTTTCGATGATGCTGAAAAAGTTTCTAATTTAAATCACGCCTTTAAACACAATATTAAAAAAGCTAATTACGCAAAAATAATTAACAACATAATTATCTCGGACATTAATATTTTTGCTTAATGGTCACCTGGTCCAGGACCTAAACGCCACACGCCTTTTTTTGTTGCGACGAGTACTTTTCGCAGTAGCGATTTGGCCTGCGTTCTCTGAAACACCGTATATATATATACACACACGCACACATATATATATATATATATATATATATATATATATATATATATATATATATATATATATATATATATATATATATATATATATTGTAAGAAAGAAAAAGAAGATTGATAAAAAAAGCGCCTTTACCGGCCGAGCCCTGGAGCAGCTGTGGCCCGCGAGGTCTGGCATGAGCCACGCATGCCCTTGCGGGTCATGCGTGGTTGTGACTGGAAATGATAATGTGGATGCTGATGGCTATATAGTTGCGCTCTTATAATATCCCCCCGCAGGAAAAGATGGTGGCCTCCTGGCCGTTCTTTAGGATGTTGATGGAGTTGCGTAATGCTCGGAGCGCAGGACGAAGGGTCATGATCGTTTTGGAGGGCACGGGCAGCGCCGATCGGTTGACGGCGTTAGAAGGGTCACGGAGTAATTTACTGGGGATGTTTGGTGAAGTACAGTTTATGGTCCAAGATACTCGTGGAGGAGTTTCTCAGAGAGTCCTGGCGTACGCACGGATGTCCAAATCAAGACGAGGTCGCCTGGTTGGTATATGACGGAAGTGCGATCTTCGCCGGAACGCTGTTTTTGTTGCATTCGGTTGTCACTGCTACGAAGGCGAGCAAGTTGACAGCATTTTTCGGTTCGGCAGACTGTTTGTGCCATGAAGGAGTGTTGAAAGTTGCTGTCAGTGTATCGAGAAAGACTGTCTATAGATCAGGACACGTATGCCGAACGTAAACAAGAGAGAACAGGGAGAATCTCGTGGTCGATAGGATATACGAGTTTTAGGTAAAGTCAAGGAAGAGAAGAATAAAGTGCCAATTCTTCTGGTCGTTGAGGTGTACATGCTAAGCATTTACAATAAGGATCGATTGAACAATTCGGTAAGACCGTTTGTTTGTGGGTGTTGGGTGGATGTGAGTTGAATAACTCTAGAAGCAGCAAGAACCTATTTTACCAGAGCGGAAAGAATCGTGGTTCCACGGTCGTTGACGAACAATCGTGGCGGACCATGGCGTAAAACTTTATTGGCGAAAAAGAACTCTGCTATTCCTTGGGCAGTAGCTGAGATAAAAGGAGCCATCCCGACATACCTTGTAAGGTGGCTTATGGCTGCCACGATCTACCGGTGACCAGACGAACTTTTCGTTAGTGGTCCATAGAGGTCGACACCGACTCGGTCGCAGGGCCTCTCGAGACAACGCTGGTGCATCAACTGTCCATCTGCTACGTGTCGCGAAATTAACGGTGTTGACAAGGAACGCATGACTGCACATACCTCTCAGCTGTCCGACATATGCCGGGCCAGAAGTGACGGGATCGAAGGCGGGCGTAGTGATCGGCTGCAGGATGGTCATGGAAAGTCGCGAGAACTTTACCTCGTTACTGCGTCGGTATTACAAGTAGGTGTCGCGCGCCGTCGGGGAGGCATTTGTAAAGGAGACCATCCAGAAGGACGAAGTTGCGTAGTTTTCGGCGAAGCTTGGTGTCTCGAACTCAGCTAGTGAGGTTACGAATCATCTAAGCACAAAGGATCATCGGCTTCTGTTAAACATCCCTGAGGCATTTAAAGAAAAAAATAAATAAAACATCGTCGTCGATGTACTTGGCGCGGAAAGTCAGAGGAAAAGGGATACAATACAGTCCGTTGGCATTCAAGAGCTTTCTTCCAGTTTTGCAAACGATATTGAACTGATATTCTAATAGCCGGAGGATCTATCTAGATAGACGCCCAGACACGTCTTTCAGTGAGGATAACCAACATAGGGCATGATGGTCCGCGACAATCTCGAGCGAACGATTGCACAAACAGGGTTTTAACCGTCCGACTACCCATACTTTCGCAAAGCACTCTTCTTCGGTTACAGTGCATTTTTTATGCCGGTTTAGGCTTCGACTCACGTAAGCGATGACGTGAGGGTCATGGCTGGAGGAATGATTTTGCAGCAGTACAGCGCCCAACTCGGTTCCACTGGCATTCCAGTGAAGTTCAGTCGTGGCGTTATCGTCTCTCTCAGTTCAGGTTCAGAGGTCAACGCGTTTCGAAGGGCGTAGAAGGACAATTGACAATCGGTAGTTCATTTATATGGGACATTGGTTGTGAGAAGGTAATGTAATGGCGAAGAAATATGTGCAAGGCCACGGATAAAGCGAAGTAAAGTAGAACATAAATCCCAAAAGCTTTTAGGTTGCTTTGCGTTGTGTTTTCAGGGAGACTGCTGAAATTGTTTAAGGGTCGAGTCGTATGTTTTCATGGAGAACAAGAGGTCATAGGACTTTGATTAGAGTCGCTGCGAAATTTAATTTTTTTATCGCATTCTAAGCCAGCATCAGTGATGCAAGATAAAATGTCTGATAACCGAACGAGGTGTTCTTCAAATGTGGATAAAAATATTAACATAATCAAGATAACAAAGACTTGTACGCCTTTTTACGCCACGGAGGATAGAGTCGATCGTTCCCTTCAAAGGTCGGCAGCATGTTACAGTGGTCAAATACACTCTCGGGTGTCACGAAGGCTGTTTTTGTCTGATTCAGACATTGGGATCTGTTAGCATCCTATAGGTTCAACGAAGAATAATAGTTCGCTCCCTGCTGAGTGTCTATAGGTGTCCTGGTGTCCTTTCGAGTGAATTTGTTGAGTATGCAGTAATCTACACAAAAATGAACCAACTAATTTTTGTTTCTAAACAAAACAACAAATGAGAGACCAGGAACTGTTCAAGGGACATATGACATTTCGTTTCAATATTTTTGTTACATTCGTTTCTTTTTTGCGCCTTTCGATAGGAGCTCTGCGTTCAGGCCGATGCCGTACAGGGGTAACGTCGCCGGTATCTACCGTGTGGTGGAGTGAGTCTTACCAAGAACGTCAGTGTGTGAGTCGAATGCATGTATGAATGAATCGATCAGGTTAAAGAACACGTGCTTTTGTATCGTTAGAAATCGCAGGATTGATAGTAGAGCCTAATTCAGTAGTGCTGCTGCTCGCTTATTGTTGAGCAGGATGGTCGAGGTCAGACACATCCAGCTGGTTGAAATCTGTTGAAGGAGTGGCAACAGCAATCACGATAAACTGCGGAACTACGATGTCCAAATTTGTAACGTTAACCACTAACGCGTCAGTAGGCACATGGCCAAAAGTTGCCATAAAAAAAGGCACAACAACGCCCTTTTTTCAGATGATGCCAGGTCATATATACTACGAGAGCATCTCCAGTGTAGCGTATTTGGGTGTAATGGGCATTATCACAGGCATTCAAGCTGGCAGTAGGCTGTCTCTTGTTACAGTGCAACGGTGACTTAAGTGCGTTTACGATGATTCGAAAAAAACTGACAATTCATAATAATAACGCGGGCGTGGCACCGTCCACAAAATC